ACTCAAGAAATTGACAAGTCGAGTTCAGGGTGTCGAACGAGGCAAAGGGATAGAAGGTTTGAATTATGAAGACCTATGCATACAGCCGGATGTAGAACTGTCAGAGGGTTACAAACCCCCAAGTTCAAGATATTTGACTGTACAGGTGATCCCAGGGTTCATCTAAGGACCTATTGTGACAAACTTGTTGGGGTCGGAATGGATGAAAAGATCCGGATGAAACTTTTTATGAGGAGTCTTACGGGAGATGCTTTGTCCTGGTACATCAGCCAGGATCCTAAGAAATGGTCCAACTGGGTAAGTATGGCGTCTGATTTCATGGACCTATTCAGGTTCAACACAAAAAATGCACTAGATGTTTTCTACATTTAGAACCTCAAGAAGAAGCCCACCGAGACTTTCTGCGAGTATGCTACTCGTTGGAGGTCAGAAGCGGCCAAAGTCAGGCCAGCTTTAGACGGGAACAAATGAACAAATTCTTTGTCAGAGCACAGGATCCGCAATACTATGAAAGGTTGATGGTTATTGAAAACCATAAGTTCTCTGATATCATCAAACTTGGTGAAAGGATCGAAGAAGGCATTAAGAGCGGGATGGTAACAAACTTTGAGGCACTACAGGCCACGAACAAAGCATTACAATTAGCTGGCATATCAAAGAAGAAAGACGTGGGGGCAGTAATGGTAGCCGAAGGCCCAAAATCTCCACTCACATACCAAACACCTCTGCCCACATACCAAACACCTCCACCCACATACCAACCCTCATCTCCCAGATATTCCCAACCAGCCACTGCCTATCACACATATTACTCCCCACCATTTCATTTCCAGTCACCTCCAACTCGTCAAAACTACCCAAGACCCCAACCTAACTTTGATCGTAAACCACCTAGACAATTCATAGCTATTGTTGAGCCCATCAACCAGCTGTATGAAAGGTTGAAGGTCGCTGGTTACGTCTCATATTCCCGCTGTGGCAGTGGAGAACTCATCCAATGGGTCAACCCAAACAAAATCTGTACATATCACTCCGGTATGAAGGGGTACACTATAAACGAGTGTCGAACATTGAAAGATAAAATGCAGACACTGATTGACAATAAGGTCATACAGGCAAAAAAAAGTTGCACCTAATGTCCGCAACTATCCTCTCCCAAATCATATGGGCGGTGGAATACATGTGATAGAGATGGATTAAGAATGGGATCCTGAGGGGTCAATCGGGCTTATTCAAGAAGGCGATAACATTAAACCTGCAGTCACACTCACTCCTATTGTAGTACAGGCGCAGTCGCCAGCCGAGGTTGAGGTAGCCACATCGGTTCCATTTGAGGTTGAGGTAGCACCACCTGCAGCCACACCTATTCCATTTGATGTAGAAGTGGCCACACATTTCATAGTGACAGTATCAATCACACCTCCTTTCGATTCAAAAGCAATACCCTGGGATTACTTCGCCGAAGCTAGGCGAAAGGGAGAGGCAAAGATGGAAGAAGATGATGCTGCACAAGGAATGACCAGGACCCGAAGGGTTTATACACCTGAACACTTGGGAGGATCAGTAAGGAGGCCACTACCAAGCCACCCGTCATTGAAACAGGGCCAGATGATCTTTGGAGGAAAGTACAAGCGAGGGAATACTCCGTCATTGATCATTTGAACAAAACCCCTGCTCAGATATCCATCCTATCACTGTTGCAAAATTCAGAGGTGCACAAGAATGCTTTGATGAAGGTGTTAAACGAAGCCTACGTACCCAACAATATCACCTATGGAGAGATGGCCAACATGGTAGGGCAGGTGCTGGAAAGTCATAAGATAACCTTCCACGAGGATGAACTACCGCCTGAAGGGTTGAACCATAACCGAGCATTGCATATCACGATACAATTTGAAGACAAATTCTTTGCCAGAGTCCTGATCGATGGAGGTTCAAGCCTCAACATTTGTCTGTTGGATGCTCTGAAAAGATTGGGCAAATGTTTCCATGAAATACGGGAAGGAAGCATGAACGTGAAAGTCTTTGATGGGTCTCAAAGGGCCCCAATTGGGGAGATTAATCTTGGTCTGCAGATGGGGCCAACTTGGTTCGACGTTGAATTCCAAGTGCTTGACATAACAGCTTCATACAATCTTCTGTTGGGACGACCTTAGATACATACCGCTGGGGCTGTGGCTTCCACACTACACCAGACCATGAAATTTGAAGGAACCATCAGGAAGTGATCATTCATGGAGACAGGAGTAACCCCATTTACACCAGTCAAACCATCCCGGTTATCAGGAACAGAAAAAGGCTAGGAGGAGAAACTTATCATCACATCAAACATATCAATACCATTGAGAAAGACAAATGGTGGAGTAACAAAATAGAAAGCATACTAGCATGGTCTGGGTATAAACCCGGCAAAGGGCTTGGGAAGAATCTCCAGGGCATTACCAAACCAATACAGCTAAAATGTCATGGTACTACCTTCGGGCTCGGATACTAGTATACATGGCAGGAGTATGATGATTGGTCGCCTCTATGGCATGGACCTTATTACCCTTTCGAGCAACCAGTGCAACATCTGGGTCAGACTTTTCACCAGGCTAATACAATATGGGGAACCGCAGAAGAGAAAGCATTAGTTGGGCTAAGAAATTTATTCCTAGAAGATGAGGATATGGATTGCAGTGCAATAATTGAGGAGGAGGAGGAAGAAGGCCTCACCATTCAGACTATGGAGAAGGGAGTTGTTCTTAAGAACTGGACTGCCACACCATTCCGGGCCCGCCGAGTCCCTTGGTAGCTTGGCAATCGACCTAATTTAATTCCTATAGCCATGCTAGTCATTTAAGATATTTTCAGTAATTTTGTTTTAAAGACTCACTTGTTTCAAAATAATTGCTCGATTCATCGAGCCATGCCTGTTTTAGATGCTTTCAGTTTTAATCAATGCATTACTATTTATTATTCATTATTATCTTCCACACTTTTCTTTCTACAGCGTTATTATTAATTAATAATTTTCCTGATGAACCGGTGACTGTGACATGTAATTAGACAATGCAATATAAAGATAGTGACTCGGAGGAAGAAGATGAAATACCTGAGGAGGTTGTCAGAGAAGTTGAGAACTTTGAGAATAAGCCTAAGTCCAACCTGGATGGAACCGAAGCAGTAAATTTGGGAGACGCCGAAACGGTCAAGGAAACTCGCATAAGCATTCACTTATCACCGACAGAGAAGGAGGAGTACATCCATTTATTGAAGGAGTATGAGGTTATCTTTGCATGGTCATATGATGACTTGACCGGTTTGAGCACGTCCATAGTGGCTCACAAGTTGCCTACCAATCCAATATGTCCGCCCGTGAAGCAGAAACTCAAAAAATTCAAACCAAATATGAGCCTGAAATCGATTATTCATTCACTCACGAGCCCGATTATGTAATTTGTTTTGAAATTCGACCCCAATTTGAAATCTAAATCCCAATTTTACAAAAATCCCTAATTCTACCCAAACCCCCAATTTCCACCATGAACACAATAGATTTTAGGTTGAAAACTTATGAAATATATTGAAAGATTGAAAGAAAATATATTAAAATCACTTACCAATGGATTGAGGAAGACGAGTTCTTTGAAAAATCGCCTCTAGGATTTTCTAGTTTTTAAAATTTGTAGAATGAACAAAAATCCCGTCTAACTCCTATTTGTTCGGTTGCATATGTTGCATTTGCGACCAGGGGTTCGCAATTGAGAACCCCCGCAAATGCGAAGAACACCTCATAATTGTGAAGTCTTCGCACCTCTGCTTTCATCACATTTGCGATGAAATGTTCGCAATTGCGACCTCTTGATCACAAATGCAAACTCTTGCTGACTCAGGCACTCTTCGCAAATGCGAAGAAATTGCTCGCAAATGCGAGTATGACAGGATTTGGGATGTTCGCGAATGCGAAGACTAATTTTGCAATTGCGAAATCAGAGACTATTACCAGAATCTGCAGAACACCAGCTAAGTTTTCTAAGTCTAAATCACTACGTAGCCTATCCGAAACTCACCTGAGCCCTCGGGGCTCCAAACCAAACATGCACACAAGTCCAAAAATATCATACGAACTTGCCCGTGCAATCAAATCGCCAAAATAACACCTAGGACTACGAATTGAGCACCAAATCAATGGAAATTTTTAAGAAAACTCATGAACTTCTATTTTAACAAACGGACATCCGAATTACGTCAAACCAACTTTGTTTCTCACCGAATTCGACAAGCAAGTCACAAATATAGTAATGGACCTATACCGAGAACCGGAACCAAAACACGGACCCAATATCAATAAATTCAAACATATGTCAAACTTTCAAAGTCATTAAACCTTTAAACCTTCCAATTTCAACAAAAAGAGATAACTCGAGCTAGGGACCTACCAATTCGATTCCGGGCATACGCCCAAGTCCCAAATCACGATATGGACCCATCGGGACTGTCAAAATACGGATCCGGAATCGTTTAATCAAAGCATTGACCGAAGTTAGCTCAAATGGATTTTAAGGCAAAAATGTCATATTTTATCAATTTTTAACATAAAAACTTTCCGAAAAAACACCTGGACTACACACACAAATCAAGAAGGGTAAAATGAGATATTTGAGGCCTCGAAACAAAGAATTAGGTTCTAAAATACTAGATGACCTATCGAGTTATCACACTATATGTGATTCCCACCTTGTTTTCCTTTTTGTCGGTATCCAACTCATAGTAGGAATAAGGTACCTTTTTCTATTTCCATCTCAAACAAAAAATACTACTATATAGTAAAGGAGCATTTGCAACTCGAAATTGACCAAGAGAAGGATCCTTATATCTTCATTTATATATTGTCCTTTTCAACCACTATAATTTTGATAACAATGGCATTTTCATTAGTTTTTCAAGGGTAATCAGGGTATTAAAGAAAAGGGGGAATTTAAAAAAAAATGATTATGCTAGGTGCAACATGATCAAAATGTAGGCTGCTATCAAAGATTTTCGATTCATTCATTTCCCCAAGAAAGTAAACATAGATTTGAAGATACAATAATAACGTAGAGAGGGAAAAAGAGAGAGAGACGGTATGACCTGGAATTGGATTAATCCTCGCTTAGCAATTTCGTTCAGGCCGCATGAGTTTTTCGACTAAAGAGACATGAGAAATTTTCTGTTTGTCAATTGGTTTGACAAATACGAATCGAGTTAGTCAAAGCTTTGCGGTGAAACATCATTTTAAGCTTCAATTACCAATCTAGATATCAAGCAGTTGGCCTAAATTGCCTGTCATCCTAACAAAACAAAAAAATATCTTTCATTAGCTTTTCTTAATAATATTTTAATCAAATACCTCAAGAAATATATATCAGCGTAATTACCAAAACAAACTCAATACAAACAGCACAAACAATAATAGATATTAATAACATAAAAATCTCAATTAATGATTCACACTTTAGAAAATAGTAGATCATTTAAACGCGAGTAGAGGATAATTTTAACACCGCCGGGGATACAATAACACCATGAATATACCACAAAATATTCATAAAGTTGATCTATTAAGCCTCCATGAGAACTTCGCATACATCATCTTCCAATTGAAGAAAATAAGATCAGTCAAAACATCAAATTTCCTAAACCAATATCCCCACATGATTTTAGATGGCTATATACTAATGCATTACATATCTTTTTCCATTTATCTTGCAAGTCAAAGCGAGCATAGAGAGCCAAAATAGACAAATATAAGAAATTTTTGCATGCTTGAAGTCATTTTCTGGTGCATCAATGTTTAATGTTATCGTTCTAGTCTGAGGATGAATACATGATGGAGGAGGAACTAGAAATCATATCAGGTTATTAACATCCAATTAAAAGCTATAAGAAAAGAAGCTACATAAAGTAAAAAAGAAAACCATATTTTTTTAACAATGAGAGCTAAAATTAGCCATCATGATGCCTATATATGTTGAAAAACATTACTCAATAAATTACAAGCTAAACTAAAATTACTAAGTATAAATATAATATACTACTGAAAGAAACTTCCTAAAGAAGATGACACAGATCATTCGTGAAATTACAAGAAAATAAGCTTAAAACATAATTAACATAGAATGAATGAAGCATAGTTAAAGAGTGTAAGATGAACTTTTCCAATAATTGAGACCATCGACAGGTTAACTGCGAACTTACTCGAAGAGAACCATCACAGTCTAAACTTCTATCTGAACTGCTAAATCCCAAACCTGGCTTCTTCTCTGCTTTGCTGGAAATTGCGATACCTACGGAAAACTCGATTATCAAAAACAAACACATGTATGGACTCCGTAGCACAAATTAGAATCAAAGAACAGCATAATCTACCTTTTTCACGCCATCAAAGACCATAATAACAACAATCCCGGCACTCTCACAAAAGAAAAAAACAATCACACTTCAAAACAAATAGATCCAATACTGAAAGACTGAAGAAGAAGAAGAGAAGCGCAGAAAAAGGTTGAGAACTCACCAAACGGAGATATGGCACTTCCAAGCAGGGAAGGAATAACAAAGGAAAACCCAAAGAGCAAGAAAGAGTAGCGGAGGAAGAGAATTAAAGAGACTAATTGTAAGACCCAAATACTGCTGTTAATGTTGTATAAGTGGTAAAGATAAATGGGATCCACGTGTCTATTCACCAATGAAATAGGCCAAGTATAAAGTACAGTATACATTACCTTTTGTACGACACCTTGTTGCACTGTTCGTACACTTCATGTCACCATGCGAAATCCCAACCTTAGTGTCAGAGGTAGCCCGACAAATTTTGTGGGCTAAAGCCAAATTTTACGAGAGACTTTAACTTTTTAATTTTTTTAATTATATATTTGAAGTCTTTTTTTTAGCTTTTTTTAGATACAAAGTTATTTATTTTTTTATAATCAATAATTCCTAATAAGTATTTCTCAATTGACAATATAACTAATCTACTTAACATTTCTTGTGGCATTATTATTCTTAGGTAAGATTTTGTCAATTTTAATTTTGAAAACTTCTTTCCGCAGAAGCAATAGTAACTTGAGTTATGAACATTATTTCATAAGCAATTTAGGCACTCGGAAAAGAATTAAATCTTTTTATATGATTAAGTATATCAATTAAACTGCTATCTTCTAATTGTACTATTTTCCTTAATACTTTTAATTTAGAAAATAAATCTAAACCATCAATATCGAATTGATTATTATGTTGTATGAAAAATTTAAGATTAAGGCAATATTTTTTCAAATTTTCAACATCTAGTGATCTTAGCTTTTACTACCAAATAGAAAATCAAAAATATTTTCATATGCTTCGAAGTATTCAAATCTATTTTGAAGTGAAAAAATAGTCTTTTCTATTATATAAAAGTAATCAACTCTAAAGAACTCTTCGAATGATTTTGAAATTTCATTATCAACATTCGCATCAAATTGTTACTTCATATATATCATAAGTTTCTTACGAAATTTGAGTTCAATATCCATTTCAAGTGTCATTTCCTTAGTAGAAATCATAGCACTTGCAAATCCTTCTTCTCTATATTTGTTAGAAAGAAATCAAACATTTTAACTTTACAAAACTCTTTTTTAAACTTATATCTATTCTATTAGGTGTAATAAAAAATGGGGCCCCCACAAATATGGAGCCTAAAGAGATTGCTTTACTTGCTTTATGGAAGAGCCTCCACTGCTCGGGGTTGTGATGACGCCTCACATCCACTTGCTAGGAAAGCCGATGTGAGATAATTAAATAGCCAATTTTAAACAATTAAAAATACAATGATGACTTACAACGAGAAATTGAAACCCAATACTACACAGTACTAATATAAGTCACATAATAATATTTACTCCCAAAGATCTGAGATCATGAGTACACGAGCAAATAGAAGTCTACAAACATCGTTTGAAATAAATACAACTATTTTTCGAAGGAAAAAAACAGTAAAAGTGGGAAAAGGAAGGTGACTTCAAGATGTGCGGACGTTGGCATATCTACCTCAATCCTTCGTACGCAATGATCCGAGCTGACGTACCTCACACACCGCTGGGACCAATACAAATATATGCATAAGAAATGCAGAAGTGTAGGATGAGTGCGGCTGACCCAATGTACTTCGTAAATGTTGACCCAATGTACTGCGTAAGGCTATGACAGGACATCTACGTAATAAACATGTACAAGTATATGTGAAGCAGTAATAATAACAGAGAATGATAACGTACAAACTGGGATGGGACATGCAAAAAAGGAAAAAATATAATAGCGATGACAAGTATGAAATCACGAAATAGCCAAGTAAATCATCAACCAATGAAATTAGATAAACCAATGATATGAAAATGACATGACATCACCCTTCGTGTTTTTACTCTCGTCCTCACTATGCAATAATATATAAATGAGATGAATGATATGGTATCACCCTTCGTGCTTTTACTATCTTCCTTGCCATGTAATAATGAATAAATGAGATAAATGGAACAGCATAACCCTTCTTGCTTTTACTCTCTTCCTCACCATGTGAAAATGAATAAATAAAACAAATGACACGAATTCACCCTTCGTGATTTTACTCTCTTCGCCTCACCATGAAATAAAGATAATATGAATTCGGGAAATAAATAGTGAGGAAAATGTATTCAAAGTCAAATATTATGCCAATATACCAAACTTTAGTTTCCAAGAACACTTAACAATTATGAAGTAAGAAATAATTACGAAGCGAATAATCAAAGAAGTAATAACCTAACTTAAACATGGATATCATAATTAACAATGCAAGAAAACACAAGGAAACTAGTTCCACCCACATGCTTTAACCCAACAACAAAGCATAAGTACTCGTCACCTCACATATACGTTGTTCTTACACATAAAACACATAACAAATAGACTAACAAGTCCTAATCCCTCAAGTCAAGGTTAACCGAGACACTTACCTCGCTCTGTAATCAAATCAAAGCTCAACCGAGGCCTTTCCTCTAAAATTCACCTCCAAACCAATCGAATCTAACCAAATATAGTTCAAACAATTCAAAATAAATTTTAGAAACTACCCACGAGTGAAAAAAATTCAATCTTTTATGATTTTGGAAAAAGTCAATCTAGGGCCGCTTGGTCAAAACTCGAGATCCGGACCAAAACCCATTTATTTATTCAACCCCAAGCCCGATTATGTGATTAGTTTCGAACTCTAACCTCAATTTGAGGTCTAAATCTCAATTTTTTAAAATTCTGAATTTCTACCTAAATCCATAATTTCTACCATGAACAATCATAGATTAAAGGTTAGAAATCAATGAGTGCTGATGTAAATACAAGAAAACGAGTTAAAATATACTAACCTATGAAGTGGGGATGAAATTCCTCTTCAAAATCGCCTTTAGGCAGAGCTCAAATGTGGGGATGCTGAAAAATCAAGAAAATCCTGACTTTAGGATATTTAATTGACAGGGCTTCAGGCTTTCTTCGCGTTTCCAAAGGACCTGACGTGATCGCGAAGTGCAGCAACCAAAATGGCCTTCGTGTTCGCTAGGGACCTCACGCATTCACAATGGTCTATTCCCCCTGACCACCACGTTCGCCAGCCTGGGCTCGCATTCACGTAGAACAAGTCCTAGCCTCCCCCCAGAATCACTTACTCATCGCATTTACGAGTAAAGAGTCGTGTTGGCGAAGGGTGATCCCTACAATGCTCCACGTTCGCGAGCCCTTCTCTACGTCCGCAAATAAGAAAACCTCCCCAGTCCCCAGTTACCCTTCGAGACCTACTACGAAGAACAACGCACCAGATATCAGAAATAGTGAAAAACTAGCAATCTTTTTAAATCCGAAATGGTCTGTAGCCTATCCGAAATTCACTCGAGCCCCTCAAGCTCCAAACCAAACATGCACACAAGTATAGTAACATTGTACGAACTCGCTCGCATGATCAAAATACCAAAATAACACATATACCAAATTTTGCAGAAAAGTCATAAATAGTGAAATGAACCTATACTAAGTTCCGAAACGGAAATTCGAACCCGGTAGCAATAAAGTCAAGCTACGGTCAAACTTAGGAATTCTTTAAACTTTCAATTTACTAGTTTTAAATAAATCACTTTATATCAAGTTAGGGATTTCCGAATTCTTTTCTGGGCATATACCCAAGTCCCAAATCACAATACAGACTCACCAAAACCGTCAAAACACTAATTTGGGTCCGTTTATACAAAATATTGACCGTAGATAACTCAAATCATTTTTAAGGTTAAAATTCACATTTTCATTAATTTTTCATGTAACAACTTTTTGAAAATGGACACGGACGATGCACGCAAATTGAGGAGCGCTAAATTGAGCTATTCGAGAACTCAGAACACAGAAATGAAGGTTAAAACTCAAAATGACCTATAGAGTCATCACATTCTCCACCTATAAAATAAACATTCGTCCTCGAACGGACATAGAAAGGTACTTGGACTAGTGAAAAGGTGTGAGTATCTACTTCGCATGTCGGACTTGAACTCCCATGTGGTTGCCTCGATTGGCTGACCTCTCCACTGTACTCTAACTGAAGGATAAATCTTAGACCTCAACTTCCTAACATGTCGGGCTAGAATAGCCACCGATTCCTGCTCGTATGTCAAATCCATTTCCAATTGTATCTAGCTGAAATCTAACACATGAGACGAATCGTCGTGGTACTTCCGGAGCACGGAGACATGAAACATTCGGTGAACTACTAATAAGCTAGGTGGCAGTGTAATCTTGTAGGCCACCTCACCAACCCTCTCAAGAATCTCAAAAGGCCCGATATACCTAGGGCTCCACTTGCCTTTCTTTCCAAACCTCATAACACCTTTCATGGGTGAAACCCGAAGCAAAAATCTCTCTCCAACGATGAATGCAACATCACGAACTCTACGATTGGCATAACTCTTCTGCTTGTACTGAGCTGTGCGAAGTCGATCCCGAATCATCTTGACTTTTTCCAAGGCATCTTGAACCAAATCGGTACCCAACAACCGAGCCTTTCCCGACTCAAACCAAAAACTGGCGAACGACACTGCCTCCCATATAATGCCTCATAAGGGGCCATCTGAATTCTCAATTGCTAGTTGTTGTTCTAGGAGAACTCTGCAAGCGGCAAGAACTGATGCGAAAAATCCCCCAAAATCCATAACACAGGCGCAGAGCATATCCTTTGATATATGTATGGTACACTGGGACTGACCATCCGTCTAGGGTAGAATCATGTACTCAACTCAACCTGCGTGCCTAACTCACATGTACGACCCTCCAAAAGTGCGATGTGAATTGTGTATCCCGATAATAAATGATAAACACCGGCACACTATGAAGGCGAACAATCTCGCGGATATAAATCTCAGCCAAGCGCTCTGAAAAATAGGTAACTGCTATAGGAATGAAATGTTTTGACTTGGTCAAAATGTCCATAATAACCCATACTGCGTCAAATTTCTTCGAATTCCATGGGAGCCCAACAACAAGATCCATGGTATTATGCTCCCACTTCCACTCGGGAATCTCATGCTTCTAAAGTAAACCGCTAGGCCTCTAATGCGCGTACTTTACTTGCTGACAATTCAA